GCTGAGAGAGCGCGGACTGAGCGGGAAAGGACTCGGCGTGTCCGGCTGTGCACCCTGTGTGGGGGTTCGGAGCCGGAGGGCAAAGCTCTCGGCAACTCTGCCGAGCGGGGTCCTGCCGCACTCGGCTCCTGCGTCTGCTCACACTTACGCCTGCTCTGGGGCACGGCTGGTCTTCTGTGGACCAGCTGCAGTCCCCCAGAGGAGGCAAGGCACCGAACCCGAACCCCGCATGTTTTAGCGGGATGGTGGGAACACTCACCGCCACGTCAGTGAGTTAGGCGAGTTCCTAGAAGGATGTACAACTGCGGGTGCAGTGGGGTAACCAGTAGCCCAGCAACAACCCAGCAGCTCGATCCTCCTCCCCCAGGATAGGTGAGGGAGCAGGAAGAGCAAAAATGAGAAATCTCATGGTCGAAGTAAAGACAGTTTAATCAGTGAAGGAAAGGGACGGGGGGAAACCCCCCAAGTGCTGCAAAGGCAATTGCTCACCACCTCCCACAAGCAGGCCGATGCCTGGCCAGTCTCCAAGTAACAGCCACCTTGGAAGTCAAACATTCTTCCCCCACCTTTTCTTCTTCCTCTACTTCAGATTTTATTGTGCAGTATAACACTTTGCATGGCATATCCCTTCGGTCAGCTGTCCTGGCTGTGTTGCCTTCCAGCCTCTTGCACACCCCCCGCCTGCTTGCTGGGGAAGAGGGCGAGAAAGCCTTGACACTGTTTAGCAGTAGCCAGAACACTGGTGTGTTATCAGTACTGCTTTGGCCACAAATGTAAAGCATACCGCTATATAGACTGCTATGAAAAAATTCGGTCCATCCCAGCCAGACCCAGCACAGCTGGGGAGGACACCTCCGGGACGGCAGGAAGCGATGCTGCATACCCTTGTGAGGCATTAGATCAGCTAAACCATTTGTGAGACTGCAGTCTGATACTCTGGTCAAAAGAGGGATGTATTTTGAAGTGACAAAGGGTAGGAGCTTTTCTTTTAATAAGGAATAAATAGACTAAAACAAGATAAGGCAGTGGATGGGATAAGGACTTTAAAATTTCAAACTGTTGAGTTAGCTACCAAAAATGACCTCATTTACGCAGCCACATCATAGATGTGTTTTTCTGATGAAGTTGTATGGTTTGCATGGGAGGATCGGGTATTTAGTTTCAAACTCTACTTAGTCGTTATTGTGGTGCAGTAGGATATATCCTGTGAAGAAATGAGTTTGTGTGATCTTTATATAGTAACTTTATTGGAAATACATTAATAAGTAGGCAACATAGTTTCTGGTTATAACATAATAAATGTGCTTCAATCTTTTATTTGGAACTTGGTATAAAACAGGAGTTTAGGAATATTTGTTATTTTGGGTTGGTGTGGGGTTTTTTTAAACTTTATGTCGTGGCTTATGGGATCATGTTATGTCTTACTTTTAAATCTTATTTATCTCCTTAAAAATATTACTTGTAGACTTTAAGTTTCTTTTTCAATTTTTCAGAGACGGGTATATAGAACCACAACACATGTACCACAGGAATTAGGACAGATCATGGATTCAGAAACATTTGAAAAATCTCGTCTGTATCAGCTGGACAAAAGTACTTTCAGCTTTTGGTCAGGCCTGTATTCCGAGGTTGAGGGCACTGTAAGTACCTGAACTGCTCTAGCATTCATATGATACTTTTCATGTACTTAAACTGTGAAATTCTTAATAGTCCTGTGCAGCTGCACTGTTGCCATTCTGGCATCTTGTGTCGAACACTGAAATTTGGAAATCCTAGGATTCTGTGTTTTTTGTTTGTGACTGTATTTGCCATCTAAAAAGAAGGAATTATGTAGACAGCAGATAATTTCTGTATGCAGTGCTGAGTCATACTGCACAACTACAATGTATATTATGTTATTACAGAATCGCAGGATCATTAAGGTTGGAAAAGACCTTTAAGATCATCAAGTCCAACCGTCAACCCAACATCACCATGTCCTGAAGTGCCACGTCTACACGTTTTTTGAACACAAACACATATGTTTTTGAAAAAACACATTTGTTTTTGAAAAAACACATTACGTTTTAGTGGCACAGCTGACCTATTATGGTTTCCACTGCTAAATAATTAAGCAACATTAGAATTATTTTAAAGTGTGTTTGGAGGGATGCAACTACTTAGAAGTTAGAAAGAAAAGCCTGTGAGAACAGGAAGAGTACCAATGGATAGTTCTTAAGTGTAAGAACAATTACACTGGCCAAGTAATGTTTGCATATATGAAAAAACAGAGACATTGGGTTAGAACAAAGTATTTACATGTGTGATATACAAACAGTCTTAAGAGAAACCTTTTCTGACTTACTGCTGAAATGCACTGCTCATCAGTAGCACAACTGGGTCAAAAAGGAATCTTGAAATTCCTGGCATTGCAAAACGTAATTAGCATACCATCTACTACATGATGAACTTAAGGAAGCAAGAAGGTCAATTATAAAAGATAATGAAAATAGTATTGTAAAATAGTGTAAATCATGTAACTGTATAACTATGATGCAAAACCAGTACTTAAGAATTGTGACGCCTCCTAACTGTTGCATTTCATGATCTCTTTTGTGCAGCCTAACCTGTACATTGTTTCATTTTATATGAACTTGGAAAAATGTTGTTATACATATGTCAGTATAGCTGTTATATTCTTCTTGTTGGGCTTTTTGCTACGCTGAGTAGAACTCAAGGTAATTTTTGTGTGAATTTGAAAAGCTATGTTTTTGGAGGCAGTATTTAATTTGAAAAATAAAACTATCCTCCAACAGTGGATTAGTGGACAGAATGGACCATCTAGCAAGTACCATGAGTCAAAAGGTTCTGAAGCTTTATCTTGATTTCAAGAGCTTTAGCCAAAACAGCTTCCCTTACTGTTTTTAACGAAAATATACATGACTGGAATGAGCCTCTATTGCCATTGAATTTAGTGCCCTGCTAAAAAAAGAGCCGTATCAGCAGTCTGTGCTTATCTGCACCCAGGCCTACTATTGTTATGGTCCCCCACAACATTCTAGCCACTAAATAGGAGAGAGATGGGTTTGACAGATGGACTGTTGGGTGGATGAAGAACTGTCTGGATGGCTGCGTCCAAAGAATTATAGCCAATGGCTCAATGTCCAAGTGGAAACGGGTGGTGTCCCTCAAGGATCTATACTTGGATGAATACTATTTAGTATCTTCATCAACAACATAGACAGTGGGACTGAGTGCACCCTCAGAAAGTTTGCAGATGACACCAAGCGGAGTGGTGCAGTTGATATGCAAGAGGGAAGGGATGCCATCCAGGGCAACCTCAACAGGCTTGAGCAGTGGGCCTGTGCAAGCCTCATGAAGTTCAACAAGGCCAAGTGCAAGATCCTGTACCTTGGTCAGGGCAATCCCTAGTATCAGTACAGACTGGGGGATGAATGGATTAAGAGCAACCCTGCTGAGGATGACATAGTGGACAAAAAATTAGATATGAGCCAGCAATGTGCATTACAGCCCAGAAGGCCAACCGTATACTGGGCTGCATCAAAAGAAGGGTGGCCAGCAGGTCGAGGGAGGGGATTCTCTCCCTCCACTCTGTTCTGGTGAGACTCCACCTAGAGTACTGCATCTGGCTCTGGTGTCTCCAGTGCAAGAAAGACATTAACCTGTCAGAGTGGGTCCAGAGGAGGATGACAAAAATGGTCAGAGGGCTGGAACCCTCCTATGAAGAAAGACTTGAGAGATTTGAAATTGTTCAGCCCAGAGAACAAAAGGCTTTGGGAGACCTTGTTGTGGCCTTTCAATACTTAAAGAAGGCTTATAAAATAAATGGAAAGACGCTGTTTACCAGACCTGTAGTGACAGGACAAGGGGCAAGCGTTACAAACTGAAAGAGGTTAAGTTTAGCTTGGATTTAAGAAATTTTTTATGATGAGACACTGGTACAGATTGCTCAGAGAAGCTGTGGATGCCTCATCCTTGGAAGCATTCAAGGTCAGGTTGGAAGCGGCTTTGAGCAACCTGGTCTAGTGGAAGGCGTCTCTGCCCATGGGAGGGGAGTTGGACCAGATGATCTTTAAAGGTCCCTTCTGACCCAAACCATTCTGTGTTTGTGCCTGTGTAGGAAAAGCAGTCCTTGCTTTCTCTCATGACCTTTTCTGTTCTGTCCCTGTTACTGTAATAACAGGTGCACAATGATCGTGGCAGCTGATGGATCTGTTACTGGATTGCAGTAATTTCTGTAATCTGTCTTCCACAACTGAGCCACAAAACCTGGACTATGCTGGTACTTCCTAAGTAGCAGTCAAAACCAGTTACTAAGTCAAGCATCTTAGCTTACATGTTCTAGTGTTTCAGCTGTGATGGTGTTAAACACCTGGGATACAGTTGTGTCTCGCTGCTGTTATCAAATTGATTGCGGTGCTCTTCTTTTTCTGTTGCAGTAACACCAATGAACAAAAACCAAGGGAAAAACTATGGAATATGTGAATTAAAGTTCCCAGCTAATTAATTGAGCACTGGCCTGATCAGCAGATCTCAGAGCAGTCAGCTGAGATACTGTATGCCCATATTCTACTAGTATTGTCAGTTGTCTTCATCTTCTGAACAAGAAGTTAGTGTTCCTACTTGGGCTTGATGGGTTGTGGTCTTGGCATTCTGTATCCCAGAACTTCTTGAGTTTGGGATTAGGAGTGAGCTGTCTCAGGAGGGTTGCTAAGGGGCCTGCAAGCTATTAGATGTCCAAACTTTGCCTGCATTCACAGATCTGCTACAGAGATTGCAGAGCTTTGTGGGAGCAAGATAATGCTTGCAAGTCCAGTGGCTCCTACATCTCATTTCTTCATTATGGCTCCATTAATATAAGTTTTGCTTAGCTAGAGCTAAATAATCTACAACCATTTTGTATCCCTGATACCCAGTTACCCCTGTAGCAGTGTTTCTTGACTGAGTTCTGTAGATTGTTTTATATTACTTCTCTTGGCACTGGTCATTGGCTGGGCACTTCCTTCTTTGCAGCATTGCCATGGACTTTTGAAAGGCTGCCGTTTGTAGAGTTTCCTTAGTGAATTTTATGTTAAAGTTACAAAATTTGTGTTTGTGGTTGAACTCTCAGGTCCCATTTAGAACAATGTAAGGAAAGTATATCATAGCCAGCTTGTGACCTTTGGAAGATTTCCACAACTAGTCCTCTGTACTGCCCTTGTGATTAGAATTCCTGTCCTTTAAAATTGTGTTCCTTGTTAACACACTTCTTATATTCCCTTCTCCCTAGGAAAGCACACCCTCAGGTTTCTTTGATTATTTTGTTCCTGCAACAGGAAAATTACACTTGAATGGAAATTCAATACACACTCCCCCACCCCCAATCCATTGTCATCCCAGGACAAGTTTTTGTTGGAAAAGTGAAAGTTGGAAAACATCCTTATGGTACAGTTTTTTTGTATGTTTTAAAGATCAGAAAAAAAATCTGAGTAATAGCACTTTCCCAGCTGCCACTAACTGATCTAAAAACATAGATAATCTTGGAGGCATGTAAAGCTGCTTCTGGTCAGTAATGTCAACAATACACTGAAAAGATGATACAAGCTTGGAGTAAAGTTCAGAGCTGAATTCGTTAGCAACTGGAGGACTTAGAGTGATAAAGTAGTCATTACCTTTGGAGTAGTCCAAATGGTAGGAATAGAGCACTAGGGTAATTATTTTTTGAGATAATAGCTTGTGAACATTGAGAACTTCCAGCTACGTACCATGGACTTAGCAGAGACACTGAGTGTCCAGCTCACTCTAATCTTCTTCTGTCTGCTGCTGCTAACACCTTTAGACTTGATACGCTGCTGCTTAGATTTTGGGAACTTGTTCTCAGTTGTACTGAAGTCTGCTGGCTTCCCTTCAGACTTGAAGAGCTTGTGTTTCCAAAAAAACCTGCTTGCTTAACCTGCTTGCTTGTTCCACTTACTGTGATCAACCCACCAAAAAAAAAAAAAAAAAAAAAAAAAAAAGACATAATGTACAAACCTTTTCCTGCATACCCTTACACTGTCATGGCTGCAGCAGCTTTCCTAATAGGGAAAATACTGCTGGTCTGAAGCTGCAGCAGTGGTACGGTTGTAACTAAGCCCATTATTGCTCATTGGATTTCAGATGGTTTCTTCCAGAGTGGCTGAAAAGCTGCCTGGTGAAAAAGGACCTGAGGATCTTGCTTGACAGTTGCCTGAATATGAGTCGGCAGTGTGCCCAGTTGGCCAAGACGGCCAATAGCATCTTGGCTTGTTATAGATAGAATAATATGTATTATATAGGTAGAATAATATAGACAGAAATAGTGTGGCCAGCAGGACTAGGAAAGTGATCATCCATTTGTACTCTTTGCACTGGTGAGACTGCATCCCCTCACTACAAGAAAGACATTGAGATGCTGGAGGGTGTCCAAAGAAGAGCAGTGAAGCGGGTGAAGGATCTAGAGCGCAAGTCTTACGAGGAGCGGCTGAGGGATCTGGGTTTGTTTAGCCTGGAAAAAAGGAGAATGAGGACAGAGACCTTACCATTCTCTACAACTACCTGAAAGGAGGTTTTAGTGAGGTGAGTGTCTGTCTCTTTTCCCAAGTAGCAAGTGATAGGACGAGAGGAAATGGCCTCAAGTTGCGCCAGGGGTGGTTCAGACTGGATATTAGGAAAAATTTCTTCACTGAAAGAAATGACAACTCCAGTTGTCAAGCACTGGAGCAGGCTGCCCAGGGAAGTAGTTGAGTCATCGGTGTCCATTGGTCGCACCCAGAGGGTAGTGGTCAACAGCTCAATGTCCAGATGGAGATTGGTGACGAGTGGTGTCCCTCAGGTGTCCATATTGGGACCAGTACTCTTAAATATCTTCATCAGTGACATAGACAGTGGCATTGAGTGCACCCTCAGCAAGTTTACAGATGACACCAAGCTGAGTGGTACGGTTGACACGCCTGAGAGCTGGGGTGACATCCAGAGGAATGGGCCCCTGTGAACATCCTGAAGTTCAACAAGGCCATGTGCTGGGTATTGCACCTGGGTCAGGGCAAGCCTATCAATACAAGCTGGGGCATGAAGGGATTGAGAGCAGCCCTGCCAAGAAGGACTTGAGGGTCCTGGTGGGTGAAAAGCTGGACATGACCTGTCAATGTGTGCTCGCAGCCCAGAAGGCCAACTGTGTCCTGGGCTGCATCCAAAGAAGCGTGGCCAGCAGGTCGAGGGAGGTGATTCTGGCCCTCTGC